TCAGGGGTCAATATTGGAGTCGGCGCTGTTTAACATCTTTGTAGGTGACATGGACAGTGGGATTGAGTGCACCCTCAGCAAGTTTGCTGATGACACCAAGCTGTGTGATCTGGTTGACATACTGGAGGGAAGGGATGCCATCCAGAGGGACCTTAACAGACTGGAGAGGTGGGCCCGTGCAAACCTCACAAAGTTCAACAAAGTCAAAATGCAATGGTGGTATTGGTTGATGAGAAGCTCAATACGAGCTGGCAATGTGCTCTTGAACACCAGAAAGCCAACTGTAGTCTGGGCTGCATCCCAAGCAGCATGGCCAGCAGGTCGAGGGAGGTGATTCTCTCCCTCTATTTTGCTTTCATGAGACCCCATCTGGTGTACTTCTTTCAGCTCTGGGGCCTCCGACATAAGAAGGACATGGACCTGTTGGAACAATTCCAGAGAGGGCCACAAAAATGATGTGAGGGCTGGTGCACCTCTCCTGCGAAGACAGGCTGAGAGAGTTGGGGCTGTTCAGCCTGGAGAAGCGAAGGCTCTGGGGAGACCTTCTAGCAGCCTTCCAGTACCTAAAGGTGGCCTACAGGAAAGCTGGAGTAGGGGTTTTTACTAGGGCGCACATTGACAGGACAAGGCTTTAAACTGAAAGAGGGTAGATTTTGATTAGATCTAAGAAAGAAATTGTTCATTGTGAGGGTGGTGAGGCACTGGAACAGGTTGCCCAGAGAAAATGTGGCTGCTCCGTCCCTGGAAGTGTCCAAGGACAGGCTGGATGAAACTTTGAGCAACCTGGTCTAGTGGAAGATATCCCTGCCTGTGGCAGAGCGGCTGGAACTAGACCTTTAAGGTTGCTTCCAACCCAAACCACAAACCATTCTTTGATTCTATGAAATATCTATACGGGCTAGAATAGAATAGCGAGATCCACCTTTTTTATTGGAAGTTTAAATGTAGAATTAGTGTTTCCAAAACCAAATTAAGAAAACTTGATTAAGCTAATGCCCCATTTCCAGATGGGAGAGATGTAGAATAAAAATTCACTAATCATGAAGAAACATTGTAATCCTGCTAACTCTTTTAAGCAACTATCAAAGAGGAAAGACTTCTCTTTCTCTTGGAGGAGTCAGAGGGCTAAAAATATAAAAATGAAACTGCTGCCAATGGGCCAAAAGCAAACAGAGAATAGAATTTAGTGCCCTAGTATTAAGGAAAGTAATTGCTGCTGAATCAAATTTCTCTCTAGATAAGATTTCAAAAACCACTAAGTACATATTACCCAGTGATGTGTGCATTCTTGGAAAAAGCTGCTGTGAATCTCCAAGGCAGCCCAGGCTTAAGCGATGTGCAAAGAACCTATGGTAACAATGATGACATTAAAAGGTTCATAGAACCAATATTAATAGCAAGAACAAGATGAAGCACTAGTTTTATGCAAGGGATCATAGGAAAAACACAAAGCTAAGAAGAAAAGAGAATGTAAATTTTAAGAAGAGCTGAAATCAGCAGGTCAACCCTTCTATCTACAGTCAGTTAGAAAATAAGAAGAGACTTGAAGAACAAATATGAGCCAGAACTAAAATTCTGTATGAATTAGAATTCCTCCAAATAACTCCATAATAGGAATTAGGCTGAGCAAACATAACAGAAATTTTGAGACCTTGCTCAGCATTTTGTGCCCACAAGATGGTATAGTTACATTATCTAGAGAAACATATCCCACAGGTGAGAGGATTCTTCGACATATCATCCTAGAACCACACAGTAATTGTGACATTAAAAATCGCTTGGTTTAGAACAAAATATCTGAATTTAAAGTTAATGGTTCCTTTCCATCAGAAATGAATCTTATTTTGACAAATCTAATAATCTTTGCAAATAGAAGTCCAGTTTGAGCAAAAATTTTTGTGATTTAGCAATATTTTCAAGTGTTCCATTTCAAACTTTTTGTAAAAGCAAATATTGCATTTAAAAAAGAATAGTATTTTGCTGAGTTTATCTGGATTTTGTGTATTTTCGGAAACCCATAAACAATACTGGATACAAGAACATAAAAGTGAAATCCCTCATAAACTTGTATTAACCAGTGAAACTAATCAGACCAATTTCTCTGTCTGGCATGAGTAAAGAGAAACACAAAAAAGAATTTTAAACGTGTTTACTATTATAGTTTCACTAGTTCCCTGCCTTAGCAAACAGCAAATATATTCTTTAAAAGTGATCATCTTACTAATGTTGACATTGTCCTTTAAACAAACATGTAGGACAGAATGGATGGGCTTTGACACAGGAAATACAGTTACGAATCCTGTAAGCAGCAGTGAAAAAAGATAAATATTTGAATATAAGGGCTCCTAGTGAGACTTCTGAAGTGCACTTTCAGGACTGGGTCCGAAAGAAGAAATGACACACTTGCAATGGAATTCACAAGAAGTAGACTTGAAGTATAGGATAGTGAGTCATCAGGGAGCTAGCTACAGAAAATCCTTCATGCAAAGAATGATGCAGAACAATTGTCCTGCTGGCTGAGAATAGACACACTGCTAGAAGAACTGTAGCCAAAGAAAAGGTTGCTTGCAACTGTGCTTCCGAAAAGATGCTTCTTAAACAATTCTTAGCATCAAATATGAATGTGAACTATCAGCCAAAGCAGGGTGGAGAAGAAAATAGAAATGGGTTAATTAGGTGAAGAAAATACTAGTGTTCAGCACACACTGAAGAACATTTGAGTATATTACTGTTTTTCTATGATGAATGATTGAAATAATCTGTTTTTTTTCCATTCACTATGACTGCTCCATTATGTATCATTAGGGAATGGAGATTTATGCATGCAAGTATTTGTCAGGCAACAAAAGGGGGACGTAGGGGCTATTTAGCATATGGTAGAAGAAAAAGTTAGCAATGAGATTCTACTAGCTGGCTTACACCGTGGGTTTTGCCCACAATGGGCTAATTAACCTTAAGAATATGCCAGATGAAAGGGAGTAAAAATCCATCTCAATTGGCAGTGCACTGTGTATGCTATGGTACTAATGATTTAAATCTATCTCAAAGAAGAGATACTTGGTGGAAATTAGAAAATCTGAAAATCAAATTATTATGTATCAGTTGGCCTGTAATAATACTTTTCGTATTATTAAAAGGAAAATTTACAGACTCTGAGGCTACATTGATACTAGCAAGTTAAACAGTACCAGTGAACATTTCCCAAAAACTGAAACTAAACCATCTGTAAAGTTAAACAGTAAAAACGGTCACTGGCGCTGTTTTGACCTGGGCCAACTAGCATTCGCCAAAACAACTCCTGAAAACAGCTGAGAGGCTATCATGGGTCCATGACCATTCCCCATTTGCATGAGGACTTCCCGTTTTTAAGAGTAAAAGAATGTAATAAGATCTTCCCAAGCAAATTTCATGTAGTAGTATGGACAATGCCTGAGTTTTCTGGAGCTCATTTTACCTGAAGGTCAACCTAACCAAAGCTATTTAGCAAAGTTATATGTAGAAACCATATCTATAATTTTAATGAACAACGACCAGCCATTTTTGGACCTGGACATTGTATGCCATTAAGAAGGAAATACAGCAACTTTATATTTCCTTTATATGCACTCTCTGTGCCAATAACCATTTGACAAAAGCCAGAGGGCACTCAGCCAGAGACTCCATTGTGGAAGGAAAGCCATTCTGATCCAATGAAGAGAAAAACAAGATGCTTTGACCACCACTTAGGGAAACAATAACATGATCATCATCAATCAAAGCAGAGCTGGGTAACAAAGAAGACAGTGCTAAGTCTTAGTATGTCTAACAACATTGGTGATTAAGCCCCTATCTTACTTGCCAAAGTGAGTTGTTTTCTAAATCAAAGTTTAGAGATCAACAGCAAGTGGAATTACTGGATAAAATGAGGTGAGGAGTCTTAACCAGCTCCCTAACTCTGCTGTGCACATATTTGATATGAATGTGTAAAGTTAGAAGATGAATGGGAGAGCTTCAGTCTGCAAGGCTGCACTCACAATGAACTCTGACTGCAAAATTGGAGCCTAATACAAGAAAATAAATCAGGCTCATTCTTCGAGGACTAAACAAATCATTCTGCAGAAAACCTGATTCTCTAACTCCAGTGAACTTACTGCAAGAGGAAGTGCTTTCCAATGTGAGCAAAAACCAGAGTCAAACCAAAGTCAGAACAGTCAGTAACAGTCAGTTATGTGTTCAGTTAAAAGTGCAAGCGCAAATGAAGTGTGACTAAAATCATCTTGTGTGTACTGACTTCACAAACTACGAGTAGGAGATACGCAGCAGCTCCTGGAGTTTGGATCACAATGAAACTGCCATTACAAATCACCTTCAACAAAAACCTTTTTATCTTATCAGGCAATTATTCAGAAATATAATATAAGGTTTTTTCCTTTTATTACTTTATTTACTTATTTATATATTCATTCATTTATTTATTTATTTATTTATTTATTTAAAACATTTATTCTGAATTAAACAACAGGTTTGACTGGTTTAAGGAATGGACCAAATGCCTGATGAACCAATAATGTAGGAATTACTATTTTGTCCTTCATCAGCTGTTACTTTAAATATTTGCGTACAAAAAATTTAAATACAAAATCCTAACCCAAGTTTTGCCTAAGGGAGCATCATTCAAAACAAAACAAAACAAGAAAAAATCAACAAACAAACAAAAAAGTGCATAACAATACTATTGTTCTGTTGCTTTAGTTACGGAAGCCTAATACGGACTAAAAACATTTCTGTCAATTAGATTTCGATTGAATTTTTTTTTTTTTTCAAAATCAGAGATATCATCCAGGCTACAGCAACAATCAAGAACTGCACTGAATACATCTCATATCAGTACTTTTTAGCTACTCACACCAGTCTTACAAGCATGATACGAATGCATAATATGCTGTGTTTTAGAAGGGGATGGTGACAATGCAAGATGATCGCGTTAATAAAATGAGAACATCACCCTCTTATAGACTTACTGTTTGAACTTTGTGGAAATCCAGGTAAGGAGGATGGACCATTCATTCCAGGCAGAAGAACAGGAGGAAGGCCAGGGAGCCCTGGGTAAGCTGCTGGCAAACTGATACCATGAAGAGAACTGCTGTCCATCATGCCTGGCTGCTGTACTGTTAATCCTAGCACATCAGTAGCCTTCTTTATGCGATCCAATTCTTGCTGCGCCATCAGCTGTCTCACCGTTGTAGGAGCTAAATAATCTTTCTCCCGATCTAGCTGACTTCCCACAGTTTCTCTCACTTTTGTAATATGTTGTTTGGAAAAGATATGATCTCTTATGGACAAGCGCGCAGAATATTTCACGCCACATAGAGAACATTCTGGCTTTGTCCCATCAGGTCCAGTCTGATTTATCATGAATGGCTTCCCTATGTTGATTTTGAATTTCTTTTCTTTAGCCCGGGCATTCTGAAACCAGACCTGGACCACACGTTTGGGCAGGCCAATCTCATTCCCTAGCATTTCGCATTCCGGCATTGTGGGAGTCCGTTAGTCACTAAAGCAAGCCTTGAGAACTTTAAGCTGAAGGTTACTCATTTGTGTTCGGAAACGTTTGTGGCCTGGCCGGTCACTATTTTTGGATTTAAAGGGATTGCTAGCTCCAAATGGGTTAGGTGAACTTGGATCAGCAATGCTTGAAGTTTCACTGCGATCGGCATTATCATCAGGGTCATCAGTAATGTAGTAACTTTGGTCATGATCACCATCTTTTTCACTGAAATGTATTGAGGGACTTGTTAGGGAAAAGAGAAATTTATCATCGGTATTCTCATTTGTAGGTGTAGTTGCAGCTTTTGGCAGTGTGTCATTGACAAGTGGTTTTGGTTCTTTGGGAGGCGATGCAGGTTTTGCATCCCCTGAACTGCCCGTTGTGCTTTCCATTTCATTGTTCCCCTCATCCCCTGTTGTGGCATCACTAATTGCTGTATTAATTGACGAAGTCTCATCAAAGTCAGTCTTGTTTTGATCGTACCCAGAGTCAGCGGGAGGGGCATTCAAATTTTCTATATCCTCACTAGACTCTGCTTTAAAAGAAGAAGGACTTAAGAGGTTCTTGGGTGACATTTCTGCAGTTTTGCTAACAGGGGTTGATACAGTGGAGGCTAGTTCATTTTCACTTGCTAATTCAGTTTTTGCTAATGACAGTGATGGGTAATCAAAGAATATGTACTTTTGTGGACTTTCTCCTCCATCTTCAGTTGATATCAAAGGACTCGGTGGCAAACTATAACCAGCCTGTTTCCCTTCATTCCAATGTCGAGAGCGAATGTGACTTTCTAAAGCTGATTTTGCTTTAAACAGAGCTCGACAAAAAGGACACCTTTTATGGGACTGGGCTGGACCAACTGCACGGAATTGTCCCTTTCTTTCTCGGGCTCTTGTGTTCTGAAACCAGACTTGTACAACTCTCTTTTTCAGTCCCACTTCACGTGCAATGTGATCCAGCATCTTTCTGGTGGGGTTGGAATCAAGCAGGTACTTTTCATAGAGTATTTCCAGCTGCTCTGGAGTAATTGTAGTTCTTAAACGCTTATCACGATGTTGATCTTCTCCACTGTTTCCTCCCTCTTTCTCACTACAGTTATTGTCTTCTTTATCATCTAATTTTCGTTTCAGGGAACCAGAAACCGTAGCAGAGTGTGCCGTATGTGATGATCCAGTTTGTGGTGGCATCTGAGCAAGAGAACTGTTAAGTAACTGTCCAGTCATCAAAGGATTATTGGGGTCAAATATCATATAGGGCATATCCATTGGTCTTTCTAAAAACTGTGAGTGAAGAAATTGGTTTTGGGCTGCTAGGAAATGCATGTGCTGGTGCTCTTGCCAAAGTTCTAGAGTTGGAAAGGCAACTGTACACTGATCACATTGGTACTGTAATAACTGAGGAGGTAGACTGTTCTGTAGAGAAGTCATTGAAATTGGTAAAGGACTGGAAGGAACGGGTGTGGTTTGTGATGCAGAAGGAGGTCTCCCTACTATCTGTGATTGTTTTTGTTGTTGTTGTTGAGAAGCGGAAGGCTGAGGGTCAGAAGAAGTTACTGGAGTAGACTGTACCGGTTTGGTGCTTTGCGAAGTTGTATCAGTTTGCTTAGAGATGGTTTCATTTTGTTTTGGTTTTTCTGTGGACTCTGGTTTAGGAGAGGCCTTCTCAGGTTCTGGTTTGGGCGACGGAATCAAAGGAGTACTAGAACCAGAGCCAGAGCTTGCTGCAGTGACTGCCAGGCCTTTTGATGAGTCGTTTTGGCTAGAAACTGTGCAGTTCTTATACACTGTTTGATCGGAAGCATCCATAGAATCTTCGGTTTGGCTTTCATCTTGAGCATCGTCATCTTCGTCTTTATAACACTGTTTTTTCTGGTGTGTAATCAAATCAAAGATCCTGGGGAAAACCACACTGCACTTTTTGCACTGATATTGCATGTTACTAGTTCGAATGTAACGCTCATTCGTTAGTTCCCTTTTCTCATTGTCTTTAGTTTCAGCTTGATTTTCATAGCTTTTGCGAGCTTTTTGTCGTGCATTTTGGAACCATACAACAATAACTCGAGTAGGTAGGTTAAGTACAGTTGAAAGTTGTTCAATTTCATCATCCTTTGGATAAGCGTTTGTGTCAAAGAAGTCTTGGAGGACACGAAGCTGGTAGTCAGTAAAACGAGTCCTAGATGATCTCTTGCTGAAAGATGCATCAGACTTGTAAGGTTCTACAGCTGAAGGTTGAGGATCTATTCTGATATCTTCCAATACTGTTATGGGAGGGTTGCTGAAGTTATACGGGGAATCTTTATTTCTCTGTCGCTCTTTAAACAGCGTATTACGAAACCAGTGCTTGATAACTTTCTGTGAAAGACCAGATTTCTCAGCCATTTCTTGGATCTGCTCTTCACTTGGAGAATTATTAATATCAAAATAAGCCCGCAAGATTTTTAACTGGTCATCTGTGATTCTTGTACGTGGACGCTTGAACTGAGAGTGACGCAGGAAATTGGGATCTAATCCCAGTTGCTGCTGACAAAGCTGGGTAAGATCTGCAGACAAAGTATCCATTGGTGGCAACTGGAGCGCAAGCTGAGGAGGTAATGCAGGATGCTGCACTGGCTGCATCATAATAGGAGGGAAAAGAGGGAGATCAAGTGAAACAGGAAGCTGGACTTGAGGTGGGGCTGACGGTGGTGGTGGTGGAGGAGGAGGTGGTGGTGGGGGAGGAGGTGGCGGTGGTGGTGTGGGTGGTGGAGCTTGCAAAGGAGTGGGGGTTGTGGTTTGAATTTTTGCAGCCCCAGCTGAAGAAGGCTGAGAAGGAGTTGGAGGAGGAGGAGGTGGTGGTGGTGGAGGAGGCGGTGGTGGAGGTGGTGGTGTTTCTGGAGAAGATGGAGAAATTGGGTAAAGCTTGTCGTACGCCTCCCTGTACTGTCGGGCAAATTTTTCTAATGCTCCATATGGAAAAAACTGTCCATGTACATGTTCTTGATGACTCTTCAGAATAAGAATGTTGGAAAAGAGCTTACTGCAGGTTCCACATTCCAGTTTGTCTGTGTTTTCACCTTCACTAGTCTTGCTTTTTTTCTGCACTTTTTGTCTGTTCTCATTGTATTGGATAACTAACTCAAATCCAAAGTTCTCCAACAAAGCCTTGGCTGCATTCCCCCTTGCTCCAGAAGCTATTCTGGGTGGTGGGATGGCTGATTCTGAGGATTTTGGCCTCTTCATATCTTTGTTTTCTTTTAGTCCTTCATTCTCATTAGTAAATTCTTGCTTTGGCTTCTCTTGTTTCTCAGAAATTTCTTCTGACTCTTTATATGATGGCATATCCTTTATCAGCTGGCAGTCTGTATTCACTAAGGTATTTTGCTCTGCTTTCATCAGCTTGCTACTTTGCTGCTGCTGTTTTTGGGACTGAAGCTGGGGTTGGGTGGATTGATACTGTTGTGCTTGTTGCTGCAGTATCTGTAGCTGGGTTTGACCAACGTGATGCTGAGTTTGTATCTGCTGCTTCAAATCTTCTAGTAGTGATCCTGTCATACCAGCCATTCCAGGCATACCAAATGTGGCAGACCCAGGCAAACCCAGATCTGGGCTTAAGCTAAATTCTGTCCCAGGTATATAGAACGGGAAAAGGAACTGAGGCTGTTGAAATTGCAGCAGTGCTTCTGGTGTCATTGGAAAGTGGGGCAAAAAAGCTGGGTTTAGAAACTGGGGCTGAAAGAACGCAGCTTGCTGTTGCAGCTCATGCTGTAGTTGCATTTGAAGTTGTGCTGGTGACTGGGGCGGGTGATGTGTAGGCTGAGCAGAAATTAATTCAGAAGCTTGCTTTTTACTTAATTCTTTGGCATCTAAATGTGTTTCTTTGCTGTTAACTGCTGGTAAACTCATAGATTCTAGCATTCCTTGGCTGGGGCTATTAACATTCCCTGCTACGCTATTTCCGCTACTTATATTACCACTTGGTTCTAATTTTGCAGCCCTTGCCTTTGTCTGATGAAGCACAGATCTCATATGGATTTCCAATGTAGAACTTTGGCTATATGCAACATTACAAATGCTGCATTTGTAGGGTTTGTTGTCAGTGCTGCTGTTGGTTTCTTGAGGGACAGGACTTGACGCTTCCTGCAAAACCTTTTTGAGTTTATGTAGATGGGACACTGAGTTATAGTGGACCAAGAGAATGTTCTTTTGAGTAAAAGACTCTTTACATACTGTACACTTATAGGGGCGAGATGGATCTAGAAATTTTTCCATAGTAAAATTTGGCCCTTTTCTAAAAGGTAAGGTCCGCTTTGGTTCTGAGCCCATATCATCTGGAATAGAGCTACTATCGCTTCCTACAGGACTTGCTTTACCTTCCTGGTCCATCTCATAATCTCTTTCTATTTCCTGTTCTAGTGCATGATCATCTTGTGCCATACTTTCACTTTCTGCCCAGAGTTCACCATTGACAGGTAAAGATGCACACAGCTGCTGAAGTTCAGCTTCATTGAGTTCAGGGTGGCCTGCTTCCAAGTGTTTTTTTAAAGCCTGGAATGTACGGAAGCTACGTTGGCAAAGGCTACACATGGTAGCTGCCCGAATAGCATGATACTGGGAATGTATCTGAAGCTTCTGCATAGTCTTAAAAGCCAAGCTACAATGGTTGCAACGGTACTTATAGACATGGCGGTCAGAAACAGAGAGCTGTTGCTTCTTCTGCTGTTCATTTAGCTGATCCGTCATTGAGTCAGTGGTCTTTGTATCTTTACTGCTGCTCTTATTCCAATCTGGCGTTTCAGTAGATTCCTTAGGTGGCTTCTGTTCCTCAGTCTTAATTTCCATTCCAGTTTTTGATTCATCGATCCCAGGGGTACTCTTCTCATCCACAGGACTCTCACCTGGTTAAAGAAAGTTAAGTGTCTTTTACACAACTAGAAGAGAATAGCACACAATGTTAAAGTGTTTTTTTCATCAGAAATCAAAAGAGGCACCTAACATGCTACGTATTGGCCTAGCAAAGTATAGCGACCCATCCTTGCCCCAGAGAATAAAGCAGACAGGACCAACATGAGTTTGAAAAAAGTAATAAAATCCAAACATGATGATCAAAATGGCAGTGGCAGTTGGCCCAGGAGTGGCACAGGGTTCTCTTTGTCATAAAGTAGGAGTTTACTGGTACAACGGGAGCACCAAACAAAAAAAAAAAAACAGTAGGAAAGAGGGAGGGCTTAGAAATGGCATCAACAGGTAGAACAGCTGATCAGAAAGGAGGAGGAAAGTGGTCTGAAGAGAGAGGGAGGAACATGCTGTGAGAGGTACCAAAGCAGCTTCCCAGCACAGAGTACAGTAAGTGCCCAGGATAAGAAACCTGCTATCGGAAAGGCAGGCAGGATCATTTGTCTAACGTTCCCCACCAATGTCGGTGAAAGTGCCACTGTCTTTTAGGACTGGGTCTTATTTGCAGGTTAAACAAGGAGGGTCTTACCTTCAAAGTGTCTAGGCCACTACCACAAGCAACATACACATGGCATACATGTGCATCCTAGCAGCTCTGCATGGGTGCAGTCAGACTAATTCAGGTCCTTTGTCATTTTTCTCTCTGTGGCTATATGTAAGCCAAAAAATGATCCACTTTACTAAGAAACAAGAGTTTTCTAAATTTTTTAATTACCCATATCCAGCTTTTACAGGTCTGGGCTTTCTCTTGCATACCTGGATATTTCCCAGATCCCTCAGCTGTAATGGTTGCAGGTGTGTCACGTTCAGATTTCTCTGAAGCAGCTGCTGGCAACAGCATGCTATTGGGCATCATGACATCTGGTACAGGAACCTTTGAAAACCAAGAACACAGTATTACTGCAGGAAAAGTCACACTATTTAATACTATACAACAATATCAACTTACAATTCAAAAGATCCACCATATTTGGATCAAAGACCGCCAGTACTAAACCTAGATCTCGATTCAGTCCTTGATAAAGGTTTCTGATAGACCACAAATCAAGAGCATGGGGGGTCTCTTGGTGGAGAATCAGTTCAAAATATTCCACAATAAGGTGATGCTAAAGAACTACATACACTCAATAATTCATTGGCCTCAATGTCACCACAAAGAAGGCTTTGCTGGCTATGTCAGGTTGGTTGAATTTATCAGGGGAATTCTCCTCAGACATCCGCCAAAGACGGAGATCATGTTGAGATACGGTCACCAGTCAGTTCTTGACTTTGCTTCACCTGTATTGTTCTTTAAAGAAATGCTGGACCTTCCAGGATCTTTGAAAGAAAATTATAAGTTTATTTCCATACAGAAATAGCAAATTATTTCCATTTAAAACAAGATTTTTCTCTTTCTTGTCTTCAATTGCTTATGTATCTTCTTCAGACTCCTTTATCTGTTGTATTACACTTTCAAATTATAGACAGAAATCTTTAAAGGATGTACTATCATAGATGTCTGACAGTACTCAGTTTTGTTAAGTTGACATGAATATTTGCTCAACGCTTCATGCTTTCTTTTTGCTTAGCTCTTTTAAACATACTCATATCCAAAACAAAGGATTGTCTAGGGTTTCAGGCTAAGACTTGGCAGGACTGGGTTCAGATTCTGTCTAAATGACCTTGGGTAAATCAGTTCAGAAGGTGCTGTATGTAGCTCCTCATCTCTAACATAAAGATAGTACTTCCTTACTTCACACAGAGGTTATAAGAATATCCATGGGAGAGATTTCTGAATGATAAATTACTATAATAATGGAAGCTACATAAATTACTAGGTATGAGTAGAAATACTCTTTGTTCCTTTTTAACAGTTTAACAAATTATTTAAAATCTTTCTTAGGATACATAAGAATTTTATATATATATATTTGTGCATGTGTGTGTATGTATTTATATCAATAGCCTATTGGAAAAAGTATTCTAGACATATTTTTAAAAGCCCTGGGCTTAGCATATTTGTAATTTAAATATGGAATTAATCGCATCCTCTCAGAGGACTAGTGACTTTGATTTTATTTGGAAGGGAAAGACTTTTAAAGAAATGATGTACACAAATTTTAGAGTCCCTGAGAAGAAAAATTTGGTATAAATGGTATTTATTTTGTCATCAGAGAGTTCAGATATGGTCAGAGCATATTAATGCTAGCAACAAGGACAAATTAAATAATGCAGATTATGTTTTGCAATCTCTTTTTCTGTCAAACAACCTTTTTTTTTCCCCTCTCAGAAAGAGTGAGACAACTGCTGAGCAGTGGGAGAGGAGAGGAGAGGAGAGGAGAGGAGAGGAGAGGAGAGGAGATTTCAAAGTTGCCCCGTTATCAGCATAGAGGGAATCATGGAGAGCTTGAGAAGCATGTTAATCATCTTCAACAGGGAGGGGATTTTTTTCTACATTTTTCCAGTTTCTTAAAAAAGTTTGAGAAAGTCAAATTTATAATGCGTTTTCCTTGCGGTGGGCCAAAATTACACAGTCTGGCAGAGCTATAGTTAGTAGAAAATCAAGGAAAAGAAAAGAAGAAAGAAAACTTTAAACCGCTTTTGTGGATCCCCAATTCTGCGTTTGCTCATCAGTACTAGGCACAAGAAACCTTAGACCTTCAGTCAAGAGCTCTTTCAGGTCTTTTTTTTTTAGCCACTTTACTTGGGAATGAGGTGATGGGCCTATAACCATAACCATATAAATGAAGGATGAGTCTATGGATATGGAAATAAACCCTTGAGGAGGTCGGTCCTTGATATTTCCAAGTGCATTTCCTTCTAAAAAGGCAAGATAACCATAATCAGGGTTTTAGGAGGTCTGTTTTCTAACTGAATCTGTGATGTCATAACAAACACTTTCTAGACCTGATTATGTCTTTACAGACATTGTTCTGAATGATACCAGGTCATTATTTTTCACAAGAATTTATTATTTTGACATGGTTAGTGCAAATTTGCAGTGAAGAACAGGATTTTCCTGGTGAAGTTGGAATGAATTTTATCCTCCAAATAGAGTTTGCTGGTTACAGAATTCATCTCAGTCATGGAGAAGCCAGTTCAAGTTCCTGCTTGATCCAGGGTAGGTACTTGAAATCAGATATTCCATATCCTAAAGAACTGACCTACCTGACCTGACCTAAAGAACTGACTCCTACCTATTCTTGGACTTGCCTTTCTGTTTCATACTCACATTTTATTTACTACAAAACTAAAGGGTCTTTTATGCAGAGGCAGAAGTAAGAAACAGGACATTCTGCACAATAAGATAATTGTGCTCTCCAGTTAGCACCACTGTGGATATTTTTACAGTGAATTTTTTCATGTAATATAATGCAAGTACAGCTCAGCTATACACAGGAATTCTTCTACCTTTAGGAACTACATTCTACAGGGAACTCCTGTTATTTTACAAACAGGAGTCACAATACCTCTGCGATCTGGATATTATTAGACTCAATTTACAGGTGTGCACTTAGAGACATTGACAGGCTTGATTTTTCCAAGGTTAACGTCAATGAGGAACTGCAGGTTTTCAGCATCTTTGAAATCCACCTTCAGTCATTTTCCCAAGGGACATCAGTGACTGGATGAGCTGGCAACAGAACCTAGGAGTCCTGACTCACTCCTCTCCTTGGGCTACCTGAATACTATAACACAACAAATACGTTGGCCAGAGGCCCAAGTACATTTCTGTATCATGTGCATCAGTATTTGGAACACTTACTGTCATTAGCAGTTTCTCCACACAGTCAGGGGACACACTGTGCAAATGGGTCAAATGAAGCTGGAGGTGCATTTTGTTGCTGAGGACGTCCTGGCAGAGGGGGCAGCAGATAACAGGTTGCATTGAATGCTGTGACAGGACATGCATCTGGATACGATTTGGGTCCCTACTATTGTAGTTACAATAAGGACACTGATAGAACTGAAAAAAAAATCAAATTAAGATGCAGACTATTAGTCAGTGTGTTTTTTATAACTTGCTGATATTGCTATTTTAACAGCATATCATCTGTTTCGTTCTTGAGTTATTTGAAAGAGTTCTAAAATGCAATTAAATTGTTACATTTTCCTTTACCTGCTCATGACAAAATTTATTGTCCTCTGGAGGCTTTGATTTTTTAGCTGCACCTTCCTCTTCTTTTGCCAGAAGAAGCTGTTGTGCCCCTACCACAGTGTTCACTTTTGGTTCCTTCTCTGGTGTGACTATTCCTGTTCCGAAAACATAATTTTTAAGAACATATTTTAAACTTTAAAATATCCTGATTTACAAAAAGGTTGTAATTCCAAAGGTCTGCATTGTCTTTGGAGGGGTCTTTTTTTTTTTTTTTTAAGTTCGGAGATAAAACATAGTTGAATAAAACAACTCTGGCAAGCACAAAGGTGAAAATACACTTTTATCCTTGATGGAGACTCTATAAGTACATTTAAAAATGGAACCTTCTTTTCTATTTAGATAACCTTAGGATGCCTTTAAAGAATAATCAATAATGTGCTTTCTGTAGCAGCTTGGTATGAATTTGTGTACTATATTAAAACAAATCAGCTTTTGCTTAAAAATCCTGTTTTCCAAAATAATTAATTTGCTGCTGTTTAATTACCCTCTCTCTTTTCTAAACTGTCTGAGCAATGTAATTATTGTGCTGTTTTGATAACTCTTGCCTGGTTACAATTCTGAAGCTAAATATAGTGAGGCTTTAAAAGAAATACTGTGGAGAATAGGATTTCAGAGCTAACTTAATATTAATTATATACAAAGATCAGTCATTTGGGATTGCTTTAGATGTTTACACTGTGAATTTTTACAGTCTGGCATTTGTGATCAAAACCAGAATATAATTGTTTTCTATAGATAGTTCTACTATTAAGTATTAAATACTATATTTAATATTATGCCTGAACTAGCTGTGTAATGTGGCCCAGTCTTGCACACATCAAAGAAAAGAGTGCAATTCTAATTTCCCAGTCCATCAGAAAATTCTTTCCAGCGTCAATTTGCCAGATAATCTCTTCTGCTAGGCTGGATATTACAAAAGCATTGGGTAGGCATGTCACATACATCTCACGACAAACACAAAACCTCATTTACCAACCATTCCAATCTCATCATAGTGCGGCATCATCTGACCTTTTTTCTGCTGTTTATTATGAGTATTTCTAATTTTAACTTTCAATTTTCACCATCTTCCAGTCAATTTGCAACTAAATTATTTCCAGGGTGAGGACACTATCACTGGACACTGGGTGCAAATACATCTTGAAATGCAATGAAGCTAAACCATTGATTGCTATCAGACTCAACGTAAATATATAGTCCAGGGGTAATCTGATTGTATGCTGTGCATGAAGATTTATCTTGATTTTTTTCAATCCACATAAGGTTCATATAAATGAACAAATTGCACCTCATTGCACAATAACCTAGGATTAATTTTAAAATAAGGTCAGGGATGTTTTGGCAACAAAGTAAACATGAAGAAAGAAAGTACTTATATTTTTCTGTAGGCAAAACTAAGAACTTTTCATTATTATCATTTTCATACAGACTTTGTGCAATGTTTGATATTAAAAGAGCAACATTAAAGAGAAGTAAAATAAGAGAACGGTTTTCAAGGTAAATACCAAATCCTCATGGTACAATAACAAAAAATTGAAAACTGAATCATACAGAGACCTTTTCTGAAGGGTGTTTTTTTTAAAAAAAAAAACATAAACATATTTTATGACTTATACATTAGTGGTGACTTCCTCACACATTGTTTTTCATTCTGAAGTTGCTAATTATTTCTTTTGGTGTAATTTAGACCAGTAATTTTAGCATGTTCTTGCTCAAATTAAAGTTTATTCCTGCCATATTTCCTCACTTTTAATGACCAATTTGTCAACATCGGTTTAATAGCTGAACAAGCTGCTTTCTGGAGCCCTACTGAATTTTTGCTCCCTCAGGAACTGATCCTGGAGGCCTCATCTAGACTGCTCAGTCAGAGCTGTGCCGACGACCTGAAGGACTGGTGATGCTTAAAGGCAAAATCTTCTTGATGCAATCACATAAGACACCATTTTATTACTCACTTTGGTTTATGATAACACAGTACTCCCTGGCCTATCTGTATTTACCTGGCAATACGCTATTATTATTTAAATGTCTCAACTGTGAGAATTATGGGAAGTAAAAAAGTGACATACTATATTAACAGAGAAAGGTTGCTTCTCAGGTTTTAGAAGGATAGGTTCAAATTATTAACCTCTCTTCATTTCCAGCTGTCAAAAATGTCTAACTGTTGACTGTTGTTTCTTACGTTTATCATATGTCACTTTTAAAATGTCCCTTTTTAAAGTTAATGGGCCAGAATCTCAGCTGGTGTAAATGGACACTGTTACACAGGAAGCTGAACTTAAAAACCAAAAATAAAACAATTCTGCCTTCTTTTTCCCTCATCATAATGGTAGATTGCTCTCAACAGGTTGTTACAGAAATTAGGATCCAAATTCTGCTGCAAAATTCACTTGTGAAAACGCATTTAACTGTGTTTTGGCAGTGGTATTTAACTGCTAGTGAAATTTAGCTTGGGGTACACTCTGGGTGTGCCTGGGCACACACAAAGTTAATATCACACATCATCTTCCACCACAGGATGGAATAACTTAATTACTTCAAAGGGCCTATAATAATCATGAAACACATAGTTCTTGTTTCTATAAAAACAGGGGTCTTTTTTGGTTAAATTTTCTTTTGCGGTTAATATAATAAAAACGTAGTTATAAAACACTGTGCTGGGGTCAATAAATGCATAACAAAGCACAGCTTTTTACTATGTTGACTATGATATTTATATAAACTGTTGAAATTTACAGAGGCTTTGTTGTTTTTATTGTTCTTGTTGCTCTGGATTCATTCAACCTCAAGTACCGTTATTTCTTAAATGACTGAAGTTACATCTGGCCTATAATAAAGTAACCAAGTCCATGACTTTTGGGGAGCTTTGGAAAAAGAAAGAAAAAAAGGGGGGGGATTGAGTCTTCCCTCTGGCATGGGGACACCACTCACCCCTGCACATGATGAGGATCAAACCCCCCAAGACAGAGTATACATGCCAAAATCAAAGGATATGGGCTCCTTACGCAATGGTCCAGCTATTACAGCGGAGAGAGGAGAGAAAATATTACAGTCTCGAGCATGCCATGCGGCACTGTTTTCATAGCTGGATGTTCCACTGGCATGCCATTCTTACTAGGCAGCTTTAGGAAAAGACTAAATCTAGTTGTTATTCAAGTTTTAAATACACACTTTTTGTTCTTGAGACACATTATTTTTGGGATTTTTTTTTTCCTAATTTTGAAACACAACTGTAATTCATTTTATCATATAAAATATGCAGCATTATTTTAGATGAATAATGTAATTTCAGTACATTTAGCTCAAAACCTAAGTTTAATTGTAAATAAGTACCATGAAATAGACTATTCAATGATTGCCTGTCAGTTACAGAATTATTTAACTTGTGTAAGATTGCTAATATAAAAATGACATAATTCACTGTGATTCAGATGCCATCGCCTTCATAACATTTTTGAAACCCCAAATAAAACCAAAAATGGTTGTGCGACTAACAAGGATAAAGTTAACAAAATGCATATACTAATGAAAAAGAAAATCCTGGAAAAGCCTTAATCAAAATACTATTTTCTTATTTATGAATCTATGTATTTGATAAAGATTGCATATTTTAAGACTTCTGACACATCAGATGATGTTATTCAGCCTCAAAATAATTCTAAAATTATAATTACTGGTAGAGTATTCTTTCTAATTAGAGTAGAATGAAAGGATAATTTTCATTGCAATAATGAAGGTTAATTTCCATCCTTCCTCATGTTTACTACCTTATTAAAAAGTGCTCCCCTTAGCCATGGCAGAGACATATTACATTTTCAATGCAAATGTATTAATCTGGATAAATTCCATATTAATTCTTGCACTGCACAGAGCTGTAATTTGGATTATAATTAATCTAAAGTGGCACTAGATTTAAGTGACAATATAAATGAGGCATTAGTAGGCTTTTCTATTCTGAATGAATATTCAACAAATATAACTTGCATATTGCCAAGTCTCATTTTGAAAGCTCTACTCCTTGAGATAAGGTAAGCAATACACCACAACAGCTTACACAAACATACTGTTACTAAATACATGTTAATCCCTTCTCGTCTAATAGATTCTATGCTAAAGAGGGGTCACACCACTTTCCTGTCTAACTTGTTAGTATTGTGATTAATTTATTGGTTTTCCTGAGATTTCTTTGGCAAGATTTGCAACACTCAATTCATGAGAAAGCCCGAATTAACATTCAATTATACATAGGCAGTTATGCAGTCATTAAAAATACTTGTCAGCTGAGTGAAAATTAAGATGATGGTCTGAATGTTAGATATGCAGAATTAATTTAGATTAGGAAAATAAAAGTTTCTAAAAGATTTAGGATTTTACAGTACAAACTATTTTCTGCAAAGCACAAAGGCAATCATGTATTTCAGCCCTTGTTTTTATATGAATCTCACTGCAAAGTTATTTGTGTAATTGCTGGCACGGGAATGCAGAACAATTATGCTGGTTTTTTGTAGTGCACCCAGTAGGCATCTGGATATAGGTTTGTCCTAATTAAACTTGGCCCTTATGAGCAGCTAATCCTGATGGAATTTTGAGAATTCCCCTTCAGTATTTTATTCTAGATTCCATCTTTTTTTCTTTTTTTTTTTTGCTAGAGCTTTAATACCGTATTCTTTCTTGAACAGTGATGAATGGACCTGCCTAAGAAAAAGAGAGGGCCGATAAACTCCCTGAAGCAGTTCAGAGTCCTCTAGGTAAAGCATATGGTGGGAAAGGCAGGCTGCAGGTGGCTGTCACCCCTCTCCTGCTGATTGCCCAGGACAGCCCCTGACGAGACTGCACAGGAGGACCTATGTCGGCTCGGGAATATGGTTTTGCTTCACTACGGACAAGCTCTTCCAAGTCAGAGAACCAGCCAAGGGGGATATATATTTCAAACCACAACACAGTTTCTTGCTCAACATCTTCCTTGTCATCATGGGCCTTTCTTCAACCTCTTGATCTCAAAAAATAAAGGGACTGAACAGGAGCTGAGGTTCTAACTGTGGTGTGTACTGACCTTAGCATGTCAACAAGCAAACTTAAAGGAAGCTTTAATCTTCAAGTCAGTCTTCTGAATTGATGTGGCACAGAAAAGGCCATATATAATATTTTTTTTTAAACAAATCCAAAAATGTTTAATATGTAAAGAGTAAATTACAGCATGGGAGAGTATGAGTGTAAAGAAACTCATACGTAAAATGATATTTTCTCTACAACTATATGTCTTTACAGAGAATACAACCTCCTTTATATGCTGCTGTCACTGGCATACAAGGAAAAGATATATGACTACCTGAAACTAATAGGCTTCAACCTGTTTCAGCACTTCTTCTGCCTCAGTGAATCCAACATAATGTAACTAGGTATAGCGTGCGGCAAAAGTAGCCAATGTAATATTCATTGTGACCATAGATTTCCATCTCATACATAAAAAGCATGGATGAAGTCACATATTTGCCAAATCAAACACAGAAAAAGCCTTGGGTATCTGCACCAGATGCTGGCCCTGGGTTTGTTTGTGCACAAGTAAATGTCATGACATAGGGGTTTTGTTTTCAAAGACAGTAGCTTTCATTACTGGGCTTTGTCTATTCCAGGAGATCAAAATTACCCAACCCATAATCCGTTTTCAATGATATTTCCTCTTTCTTAGGCTGAATCATCTGTAAACTTTTTCACTGGATTTTGTGTATTTTTTTCAAAATGCCTCAAATAAATGCCCAGGAAGAGGCCAGATTCTTGGGAGTAACTGATCAGAGAGCAAGAGCAAAATATAATAATAACAAAAAAAAACACATTCTTTGGGTTAAAAGGGGGGCAAAACCCGACTGAAGAAAAAATTCAAGTGGTACCTAATCCTATGCTTATGAAAAATTAATATGCCATCAGAGGAATCACAAGTACAGCTAAGATTAATGAAAGGCGCTTAAAAAATTACAAGCACACAAACTGATTTGATTAAAAAATAATCTCACTGGTCGTCCTGTAATATTCTTCAACTTATCCGCATCTATCCTGTCAGATGGTTATGATTAAAAATAGGTCAATGGGAGGCTACTGATAGAAATCACATGCAAAATGCACATGCAATGAATAGTAGTGGGAATGTCCAGACAGTTTAAAATGAAAGAGCATTTCATAAGTTAAAAAAAGGGGAAGATAAAATTCTAGCATCTTACCAGAGTCTTTACTAGATTTTTTGCCTTCACTATTGTCTCTCTCACTTGTGTCTTTATCATCAGCCACAGCCACTGATGTACTTTTAGCAGACCCTTCTGTATCTTCACCTTGTTCTTCTGTGGATAAGCACAGAAAAGATCTTTGAAAAGAAACTCAATGACCACTTAACAGCAGTTAAAAATATGTCCTGTAATAAGAACAGCACCAACAGAGGGTAGCAAAACAGGTGGAAGGAGGGGTGGGGGAAAGAAAAGGGAAAGAGCAGCACTTTTAAGAGGTTGGACATTAATTACGAATAATTTGCAATGTTTCAAAATCTATTCAGAAATTCTGACTGTCTTTATCAGAGTACCCACTTTCCACCAGTGTGACAGATTTAAAGCCTGTCATTTCATATTCTTTGGCTAGAAATGATTTGTGTTAAAATACACGCACACACACGCACACACACACACACACACACACAGAGCACACGGGCCGGAACAAAAGACAGCGCATGTAAAAGCGCGAGCCAAAAAAAAAAAAAAAAACAGAAAAAAAAAGGGAGGGGTGGAATTCAAATATAAATCCTATTAGTGCAGCAGTATCCCGCTAATTGCAGTAAGTAAGTATTAGGTATTAGGTACTGTATTAAATATAAACCTCTGGCTTCGCGGGAGAAGTCTCAAATTTTGTCTCCAGGGGGAGCCATTCGGGATAAATGATGCAACTTGGTCTACGGCTCCTGAGGAAGCCGCCTTACCCACACCTCGCTTACGTGTTCACACCAGCTAGATTACATGGAAATCTTCACAGTAACTCAAGCCCATTTAATTATTCGGTAAATCTTAGCTATGCTGCTACTGGTGGATTAATCTGTTTATGCAGTTAGCTTCTATGCTGGGGCTGTGTAGCACTAATCCGTGAAAGGCCCACTGTTCCTTTTCATCCTGTGATCATTTGTCTCTCACTGTGCTGATGTCACATTTTAATGAATTTTTAGCAATCTGAGTAATGCCAGATAACCAGACTTGCAACTCCCTACAGCACAGCATGCTGTTTTCATTGCAGCACACACACAAAAAAAAAAAAAAAAAAAAAAGAAAAGAAAAAAAAAAAAGAAAATCATATTTCCCAGTTCAGGTAGGAATTATACAAATTAGGAGGTGAAGGTAAAATAGGATTCGAAGCACCAGGCCGCTCAATTTCATAAAATCTTTAATGACCATATAAATTAACCCTGGAAAGGCAAAAGGTCACAGACACACATTTGCATACACTCTTCTATTCACTTTTGATAAGCAGAGCTTTTATGCAGGGAACATGATACAATTAACCCTTCAGGAACCATACAAAATGCAGCTACCGACATTTTAAGTGTCAAGCATTAACTGAAAATTACACACTGCATAAAATTTTCATTGTAAATGCTATAGTGATTGAAAGGGGAAATAGTGGCCCTCTTCGCACCCCATGTTTTATTAATAACATTCTGACAGCCGAATGAAATATCCTCTGTCATATGTAGCAGCTGAGCACAAAAAAATTGCTGCTTAGTGCCTTACTTGCCAGCCATGCACTGAAATTGTACGCCTAGGCAAACAACCCTCGGATCGATGCGGCGAACCTATCCGATTCTCAACTCTCTGCGAAACCTTTTGTAAATCGGGAGAGAAAAACACAGCTGCAATTTTGGAAACCACACCAAAAAAAAACAAAAAAAAAAATCTCCACCACAGGCCGACGTGTTTTGCATTGACATCGGAATACAATAGGTTAGGACTAAGCCTGCGTGACCACTTTTTGGAACAATACAGGGAGGAAGATGGTCCCCTCTTTTAAAAATAATTGCGTAGAAAAAAAAAAAGAATTTCCACCAGAATGGCACACACACACACACACACACACACACGCA